GCCCGATATAACATCCGTGCGCGTTTATATATGAATGGTGATGGAAATGCTCGTCGTACACATATGTCTCTCTTTTTTGTGCTTATGCGAGGTAAACATGATGCGATCTTGAAGTTTCCTTTCAACTACAAAGTGACATTTTGTCTATACGATCAAACACCGACACAGCGACATATCATTGATTCATTTCGTCCTGACACTAGATCGAGTAGTTTCCAGCGACCACGATCCGAAATGAACATTGCAAGTGGTATACCGAAGTTTTTTCCGTTGGCTATGATCCAACAGGAGGGAAATCCATACATTCGAGATGATACGATGTTCATCAAAATAATGGTCGATTTTGGTGATATGCCGAAGATCTTATTGCCATATGCATTGAGTCTCAATCCCGGACTGCCGACTAATATCCAGCAGAATATGATTGAACAAGAAGCTGAAAAACGGGCTCAACAAACTTCCACTCAACCAACTCTATTATTACAACGTAATGAGTGATTTGGTAAATATCTTTCGTTTATTTAGTACTACAGGCACCTATCAACAACAACTAACAAGGTTGCAAGGTTATTCAAAACTATGATACACTCTCTTTTTTTTTATTTGACTGCAGACCACTGTTTCTATCGTGAAATTTTATTTTCTAACAAATTTCTTTTCAATCATCAATAATCTTTATGTTATTCTGGAAACATTATCAAAATCTGATTCTTTTTCCTCTTTCTATTCCGATAAAAAGTTCTATTTGAAACTGAAATATTGTGCAGTATCTTTACTTCTGAACATACACTGACGCTTGCAAAATTTAGATGAACATTCAGAAGAGAGAGTTTTAGGAATCTTCAATTTATCAAAAATTTCAAATAAAGCAGTCCAACTGTTCACCAATAGAGTATCGATTTGAATATCTTCAAATTATTCAGTGTTTCGAATAAAAATAGTAAAATCAAATGAAAATCAATATGATCATTGTGAATTGTTACCCATATCATCAAAAGTGTTTTACTTTCACTGATTAATCGAAATATTTCAAAATCAAGTTTGTAAGTCACATAAAAATAAAAAAACAGATGAAATTTATTATTTTCTTGAGACTGAAAGTGCTTTTTGATTTTGTCAAAATATTCATAAAGTTTCGATACTAAGATTATTCAGAGAAATTCAGAATACATATTTACTGACTAATTTTAATCAATAAAAACAACATATAACTTGTGGGTGTGGGTGTGGGTGATTAAAATAACCCCCACCTACCCACACCCACACCCACACCCTATTTTCTATCCCGGCTTATCCGATTCTATTCGGCGCTCGATTACTGAACCCATATGCCCTACTAAAAAAGCGGTTCATAATATAGACGATGACGACAATCATGTACATGTATAACATTTTTCTGTCGCTTTAAAACTCACCTCTATTCAAAACTTGAGGATGTGCGTAGGAGTATATCGAAGAACCACATCCACACCCACGTCTATCTACATCCAACTGAATACAGTCAAGAATGTTCATGCAGAAAAGTCCTTGACCAAATGTTCGCGGTTATTCGTTCTTGAAAAAATTCTTCTTATAAAATGACCTTCATATAATATGTCCCTGAAAAATGTCCTTATAGTAAAAAACGATCAAGACTATGTGAAGACATTAACAATGAAACTTAATTTAAAAGAACCAACAAAAATTTGCTAAGTTAATCACTTACAACAAAAAACAAAAAGTTCTTCTAATAGTTCTTGCACTGTATTTGTATTATTGTTAAATCGATCATATAACCCGCTGATTCGATCTTGAGAAATTCTTGTGATCAGTCGTTTTGTACGCAGACACATTCCACGGTTGATTTGCATTATTAAACTATGAACGGTTTCGACCTCTTGATATATCATCATAAATCATTAATACATCTTCACACGGTATTTTGAAAAAATAATTCGTGTTATTATTAAGTTTGTCTATAGGTATGAAGTCAACAACCAATTCCAGTCTTACAGTTTATTTTCCCCTAAATTGGTTCATTCTGTACAGAAACAAATTCTTCAAATAAGAATTACATACTCACACCCGCCCACCCCACACCCACGCCTTTCATACTCAACCTCTGCCCACACCAAAGTACACAATAAAAGACAAATATTCACTAGTTGGTCTCACTTGCTCCAAACTCTCATGCTGACTAAACAGGTCATGATTTGCAAGAAAGGCGAATCATGAGCAGTCAAATCCAACAGACGGACAAAAGCTGATCTCAAAACCCGAATATTTATTCAAAAACAGTTTTCAGACACACACAGAACCCCTACAAACACCTGAACCGCATTCGCTGCCCGCACTACACGATTGGTTTTGTGCCAGTAAACAATTTCCCTTTACACATATCTCCGTAGCGGCACTGCATACAATCGCACATGCTCCACAGTTATTCATGTCTGTTTTCGGATCGACACTGCATCCAGTTAAGCCATTACCATTGCAGTTCACATATCCCACTTGGCAGCCAGCGGAGAAACAGCTACCATTGGAGCAGCCTGGAATGGCATGAAGAAACGTGCACACTGTATCGCAAGATCCGCAATTTCCCACATCAATCTGGAGGTTTACTTCACATCCATTCACGTTTGATCCATCACAGTTTGAATATTCACTATTACAACTATTAACCACGCAAGTGCCACTTGAGCATCGAGCAACAGCATTTGCCAACGAGCAGGTGGCGTTACATGATCCACAATGGCTAACGTCTGTGTTTGTGTTGATTTCACACCCATTTGCATTTGATTCATCACAATTCGAATATCCACTATTACAACTATTAACCACGCATGTGCCACCTGAGCATCTAGATAAAGCATTTGGTAGAGAGCAGGCAATGCCGCACGATGCACAGTTGTTCACATCTGTGTTTATGTTGATTTCACATCCATTTGTGTTTGATCCATCACAATTCGCATATCCATTATCACAGCTATTAACTACACAAGTACCACTTGAGCATCTAGCCACAGCATTTGCCAACGAGCAGGTGGCGTTGCATGATCCACAATGGTTAACATCTGTGTATGTGTTGATTTCACATCCATTTGCGCTTGATCCATCACAATTGGCATATCCACTATTACAGCTATTAACTACACAAGTAGCATTTGAGCAACCAGCTACAGCATTTGCCAACGAGCAAGTCGCGTTGCATGATCCACAATGGTTAACATCTGTGTATGTGTTGAGTTCACATCCATTTGCGTTTGATCCATCACAATTGGCATATCCACTATTACAGCTATTAACTACACAAGTAGCATTTGAGCAACCAGCTACTGCATTAGCCAACGAGCAGGTAGTGCTGCATGATCCACAATGACTAACAGCTGTGTCTGTGTTGACTTCGCATCCGTTTGTATCTGATGCATCGCAGTTGGCATATCCACTATTACAATTATTAATCACACAAGTAGCATTTGAGCAACCAGCTATTGCATTAGCCAACGAGCAGGTAGTGCTGCATGATCCACAATGACTAACAGCTGTGTATATGTTGACTTCACATCCATTTGCGTTTGATCCATCACAATTGGCAGATCCACTATTACAGCTATTAACGACACAGGTAGCATTTGAGCAACCAGCTACAGCATTTGCCAACGAGCAAGTGGCGTTGCATGATCCACAATGACTAACATCTGTGTTTGTGTTGACTTCGCATCCGCTTGTATTTGATGCATCGCAGTTGGCATATCCATTATTACAATTATTAACCATACAAGTAGCATTTGAGCAGCCAACTACTGCATTCGCCAATGTGCAGGTGGCATGGCACGATCCACAATTATTTGGATCATCGGCGACGTTGGCTTCGCAGCCTGTAGAAACCAGCGCATCGCAATTTTGGTGTCCAATGTGGCAACTTGTAATAATGCAAAAGCCATTAATACATTCAGTTGTGGCATATGGTACAGTACAATCAAACGTGCAGTTGTCGCATTGATCGGAATTATTGAAGCAACAATGCTTGCGTTCACATATTCTGCTGAGTGCGAAAGAAAGATGTGGTACGGCTGGATTGATATGAGGTTACGTGGCAATGGAATGGTGATAACAACAGATGTGTTCGGATATTCTGGTGAATTGACAGGTTATCGTTTCTCATGTTATGTGTGTCGGAGATGTCGTGATAATTGAATAACAATTAGAAGTTGTACGGGACGCTATGTAATATAACAATATTTTTCTAGTAGGGGCATTTCATTTTGAAATGAATAGTTCGTGCCTGGTGGAATGGAATTTGTATACTCTCTGTCACGGTATCAAATTGGAAATCGTCGACTGCTGAATAGCTGTTCCATTAGCAGTGTATGTCTCCGAGAAAACCTATTCAACTATGAATACTTCCAAATGAGTTCTGTCCCTTATGGTGGGCCTGAGAAATTATTTTAATTTAAGAATGTTTTCACAATGGCTGTTCAGGATAGATCTTTTCGGGTCCGACTACAATTCTCTAAATTTCGTTTTAATTGCATTCTGATCCTGCTCATAAATTTTACAAATTGGATGCTATTTGCAACTAGAGTGAATGCAATTCTGTCAAGAAGAACATTGGTATTGTGGGCTATGATATAATTGTTTTACAAAAAAAATATTATGTAAATGCTTTAATTGAAATATTCGGTATTCCATTCGAATGTATTTGTGAGAAGAAAGCCAATTTTCACTTAACTGCTATATAACCCACATCATACCTTTTAAAGAGAATGTAGTATTGTTTCTTATCTAACAGAAACATAAGGAGGTTTGTTGGATTTTTGAAACCACTGGTAGATTTTGATTAAGAAGTTTGATCAAAGCTTAAAGAGTATATTTTGATGCAGAGCCCTAATTCCCTAATAGACGAGGTGTTGGTTACGCATAACTGTTTAATGTGAAAGCTAAAAGATGCGTAATCGATATTTAGCTTTCGAGAATTTGAAATTTAGATAAATTTTTTCAGAAAAATGTTATTTTGTATGAAACTAATTTTTGCTTCATAAAATATGGAAGTTAACAAGAGAAAATATGCTATTATTTCGTGGTAAAGGTATTTTAAAATTATTTTGGAAACGAAAGAAACACTTTTTTCGTTTCTGTTTTCAAAGAATCCGCTGTAATTTTGTTGTTTCTTCAAAATTATAGTTTATAGTATACGTGCTCTACCTTTGCCTTTAAAGACTTAAGTTGAGTTATGCTACTTAACATTCATAAGTTTATCAGAGTACACTGAAAAAAAAAGTAATCCTACTAAACCCTTGAAGTTTCTTGGCATTTTACGATACTATATAAGTATCCGTGGAATTATGCGAAACCATAATAAGGTTTAGCACAATCCAATGCTCCGCAATAGACTTTAAAGGGTTCTGAATCTTCAAAAGGTTTCGCCATCATCATTTTCGATTTCAGAACCCCTAAGGGGTTTCGTGATAAACTCTTTTGTGTTTCGTATTCAAGAAGGTTTCGCTATACACCTAGTGAATATAACAGCTTAATGATATCGAAAATGAGCGACTCTCTTGACGACACACAATTCTATGACATACCATATGGTTAGCCAATATTTGCGCCGTTTCATTCACTTTATCCTAAGTCTCATCATTAAAAGTCTCAATTGAAGCTATTAAACTTTTCATTCGATCCACAATTCATTATCTTATTTAAACATATTCATGTGATTCTGACGTCGAACTTGTAAACTGTACAAAAGTAAAAATTATTCACTATTTCCTTTTCAAGAAGGCTAAGGTCTTTCGAAAAAACATTAGTTACAACGTTATATTTCCGGCTAAAAGTACTATTTCGTCATACGTTTCACAAACTATTTAACACCCGATCCTCCATTGCCTTATAGCTATTTCCCTTCAACTGTAATAAGAGGCATTGATGAATTCAAAGCGGCAACTCTTCCATGCAAGAGTCTTAGTCTTCTCTTTATGTTAAATTTTTTTTTTTTATATAGTACTGATTCATTTATTGGAAAATTCTCTTCAAGTATATTCATTGATCGTATTAAACTTTGAGTTTTAGTTTTCTCATTTATATTATTCCAATAATACAAATTATTTTATTTACATCACTAATTACTTCATGTAAGACTTCTATTATTATCTTTTTATGTTGCATTGATTTTTTTTATTTATTTCTGATTTAATTGTAGGTAGAATCAGCTTTAAGTCTACACATTAATCGTATTAAACTTTCTGTTTTTCTCGCAAATTCATTACTTAGGTTTATTTTATATGAATTAAAACGAGATTACATAAATAAATGTTCCCCCACATTACACATTACATTATGCCAAAAAAGTTATCACAGACAATCAAGATGGTATTTGCTTCTTTGAACACTGCTCTAAGACTAAGTTGCTAGATCATTCAAATCTTCTCTTTCGGTTATTCAACGTATTCTGTCGTTGCTAAATCACATGCCTACATGCAAAAAAAGATTTTCTTTTTCGCGTCAGGATCTTCGGCTAATAGGGTAACAGGCAACTAAAGATCAGAAATCCATGTTTTGCTAATTTTATCTTTAGATACTTGCGTAACTTCTATTACTGCTAAGTTATAATTTCATATTAATAACTCATTTATCTCATAGTCAGGTTCCTTGAAAAAAACCTGTTGCAGCTAAGTAATGATTAGAAACAAATAATTCCTTCTTTTAGCTTTTAGATATGAAAACGAATTTGATTATTGGTAAGTTACCATTTCGAACATAACTCTTTTTTTCTATTTAGATCGCCTCAACAATTGTATTATTAGTAAATTAGAATTTGAATTAATCTATTTCCTTTTTTTCTGTTTAGATTATTCTAAATAATTTAGTAGAATGCAAGTAGTAATTTAAAATAATTCTTTTTTCTTTCAGGCTTGAAACGGCATCCAATTATCGGTAAGTTAATGTGAGGAAGGTACACTCTAAAAAATAAGGGTACTTTGCGAAATCTCCAAAAAAAAGTTCGGTAGGTTCAGAATAGCATCTAAATGACTCGAAATGCCGAAAAAACGACTTTTTCATTTCTATAGAACCTTTAAAGGTTCTGATTGTGGGCACACCACCAGAACCCTCTGATACGAAACCTTTTTCAAGTTCGGTAGTGCATAAAAACGTTTCGTAACAAAATATCAAACCTTTACAGCTCCGTTTGAAGCCTATATAAAATTCTCAGAGCTTAGTACGAAACTCTAAAGGTTTCGTGTTTTGTTGCGAAACCTTTTTATGCGCTACCGAACTTGAAAAAGGTTTCGCATCAGAGGGTTCTGATGGTGTGCCCACAATCAGAACCTTTAAAGGTTCTGTAGAAATGAAAAAATCGTTTTTTCGGCATTTCGAGTCATTTAGATGGTATTCTGATTCTACCAAATTTTTTTGGGGCTTTCGCAAAGTACTTTTATTTTTTAGAGTGTAGAGTTCCTTTATTCTTTAGTTTGGCGGTTGGAAGAATTCTGAATTGCGTTAAGGAGCTCACCTGCTTGGACTTCTGAGGTTAGTAGTATGGGAAACCTGAATGCAGTACTGGCGTGTGTATTGTACACAATGTAGGCGAGGATGCTCAGTTTATTACCGATAATGATGCTGCCTCTTACGAAACCTAACTTTCTGCGAAACTTAAAAGGGCTTCTATTTCGTTGCAAATGTCGAAACTTTTTAGAGTTTCGTAGAGTACCTTTTTTTCAGTGTAGTTTGAAAGCTTAAGTATAATCATCAGTATAAACCCAAACACTTTTGATTACTCGGGCCGTACTCGCGAAAGGATTTGCAGAATTTCCGTCGACCAAATCCGAGTTCTGTTTAGGGTCTAGAATACCTTGGAATGGATGGTTCGAGTCATGCTCCACCCTATCAGGAATGTTACACTACAAATACTATCTTTTGTCCTTCGATCCTAAAATTTACACAACAATAGAACTTAATGGCAATACTATTTATGTATGTTTCAGATCGTATGATTTCTTTCGATCATGAAATGGGAACAAGAAATATGTGGTTTTGTCTAAATGATGTAAAAGGTATGTAGTGGCAATACTTATATCCGCAGATAGAAACAGAAAGAAGACATGAAAACATTCACCGAAACCTCCTCTTGTTAAAACCTGTTTCTCTCTGAAGTCTCAAGTTAATATACACTACTCAGTTTTCTACTATTCCTGGAAATGACGACGGTATTCATTCTAGAAATACCCATAAGTCTAGTATCCCAGCCAGAGTAAGTTAAGGACCCGCACTCTCTTCACAGTATTAACAGCCTGTTTGACTCTGACTGAGAAGCATCCTCTCAATGGGATGGCAACTACAAAAGTGAGACTTTCTTCCTCAGCAATATACTTCCATAAAGAGAGATTGTGACCACCATTGGATACGTTTACATATGAACCGGGCAGATATGGATATGAGTGTGAGTCTGAATGTGAATGTGACTGTGACTGTGAATCTTCTCCTCATGAACTACAACTAAATCAACGTTCCACCTCACATAGACCCAAACGGGATATATATTTCAGTTTAGACAAGCATTCTCACGCTATGCCTTCTCCAATATCCACAGTTAGCATAAAATTCTAATTTTCAGCATATTTCAACTCTTACCGAAGTAACGGTTTCCTTTGTTGCCTCTGCCTAAAATCAAATGAAACTAATTCTCGTATATTGGGAAAGAGCAAATCGTATATCATCAAGTAAAATGCAAGCTTTTCAGTGCTCATTGCCTTTTTCTTGCTCGCCCAACCAACGCCACAGAACCGCAAAGAAACCCAGGCAATTCACAGGAACATACCTAATAGAACATCGATAACTGTTAGCCTACTCACTTGTAGTAGTTAGTATGACTGCTGTTACCGAACTGGTGCCGTTCGATAATATCGTTGTCATGGCTGTAGTGTTAGAAAGAGCAATACTGGCTGGACCTGATGTAGTGATCGAGAAATTTGTAGTTACACCTGGTGTGTATGTTGTGACAACCAA